ATGGACCTTCTTTTCTCGCCTGCGCCTTCGCTGATGATCATGTTTTCCATGTCTTTATTGTCTTTGCTGTACTCGACTGAATTACGCGAGTCATTATTCTTTCTAAAAGTTTCTGACCTCAAATTAAATTTGCTTGTTACGTTTTTACTACGGGTGTTTTTTGACACGTAGGTGTCGTTGTTGCCCAAGTCCTGTTTGTGCAACTGATGTGGTGCGCTTTCTATTCTCATTTCTCCTCGAATAATATCTATAAAATTAGAACGAAAGTTATATTATTATCTGTTGTTCTGTTGTTATTAAACTGCATTCATACTCTAAGTTGCGTCTTGTAAATTGATATTATTTGCTCAATAATTTCTCAAAATTACCGTACAACAAATTTGGCGGGGTATTTTGTTCTACTTTTTCTGTTAACTTAAAACAATTTTGGAAATAAATATTTTCCTTCAATTTACCTGTTTCTTTTACAGCTTGACATTCTGTGCAAATTAGGAATATATTGTATACCAATAAAACATTAGAACAGATATTCAGAATCATAACTTTAAGCGTTTCAAGTGATTTTTTTCGATACTGAAACTGGTATATTAACTTATCACCTTAAACAAAATTTGAACATAAAAGTGCTATAAAATCCAAACAAGTACGTGTTTACTTCGCTAACGTATTACTAGACGCATAGTTCTATTGAGGCTTTGTTGAAGTTTTGCTTACATTTCAATTTGCTGAACATTTTACATTCTTTTTATAATAAGTTTAGTACAAGTCAAGTCCCTCTCTCATGGCAAATATGTAATAATATAAAATATGTAAATATCAATAATATCATCCCGAAACACAATTGGCGGCAGGTGATACTATTAAGTAGCTAATTACACTGCCAATAGAAATAAACAACACACTGGACTTGTAGATGCGTTGCCACCATTTGAGTGAGTTGCTCCCAGGTAACTAGACGAATAGAATTAGACTGTGCAAATACTCGTTCATTTCGTTCCTCTATGAATGCATAATGGATCGTTTGTAATATTTGTTTTTAACAAAATTAGTTCCTTAAAGATTTAATATACATACATGTTTGTGTCAAAATGTGGAGGCGTTACATGGAAATAAAACGACAGAGTCATGTCAGAGCTTTGTCATGAATATTAAAAATGTGCGGTTCGGTGAGCGTCGGAGGGGGCGTTGGGGCGTTGGGGCTAGGCGGAGCTGTCGGAGAGGTCGCCGCGCTCGGCCTGCATGTACTGGCGGCGCGAGAGCGGCAGCCGCAGCTGCGGCACCGCGCCCTCGCCCAGGTTCACCAGCGACACCTCGCCCTCCTTCTCCTCCCTCAGCAGGGGCGCCCGCGCGCCGCTGCGCCGGCTCGGCCTCTTCACCTGGCAACGTTTCGCCTTAACGACATTGGCCTGTCTATTTCGGTGCAATATTCAAAGTCAATATCTTTATTCGATATAGAAGCATTACACTCACTTATCGATTGTCAAAAAACTACTACCGGTTCGGAAAGAAAGCCTGAGAAGAACCGGCGAAAGAAACTCAGCAGGATATTTTTTTATTTTTTTTAACTTATATTATATAAAAAAATAACAAACATGTGTACAATTTATTAATTTCCACTTGAAATAGCCTGGAGCGATCAATTAATTTCCAAAGTGTGTTATCATTCAAATAGTCACTAATACTATTATAACCGTTAACACAAACGTTCCTTTACAAGTTTTTTGAATTAAGCAGCAGATTCATTTTGAACGTTTTCTGGCATTTTTTTGTAAAAGCGTATACATTATTGTCCCATAAAAGATTTACTTTTTCAATTTAGTCAAGGGTAGAACTAATTTATGTTTGTTTCTAGTTACTTATTTACATCATGCACTTTACTAAATCTTGAAAAGTCGTTCTTATTTTTGTGGACCTACATAACATTTGCAAGTATGTACTCAGAAGCTACAGTCAATATTTTTATTTCTTTAAGTTCGAATTCGAATACCTTGTCATGGGAAAAAGAAGCACATGATGATTCGGCATTAAGTGGAAGTGTCCATTGTTGCAGATGTTCGTGGCGGTGTTCACTTACCATGAGGTATCCTTTCAGTCACTTGCTGTTTGCCCCCATGGCTTATGATTAGAACGCCTGGACAAATTTCGGGCATACCTTCAATATACTGTACTTGACTTTGCCAGTGGTTGAAGCTGCGATTGGCCTCTCATCACTTTCATTTCTAAATGCGTCGGAATCGTACATTGCCTTAGCAGCGTTGGTTTCGCCATTCTTATTTGTTTCTTCCGTCTTTGTGAGATATTTAGAGCGGTCGTGTGAATGTGACTTACGACGCACGGGAACTGGTTTGAATGTTGTATAGTTAATTGTATCATCATTATTCAAGTTTTCGGTTCCGATTTCAGCGGAATCCACAGTAGTTTGCTTGGGGGCCGTCTCGTCTCCATACACATCTCCAATGTGGTATGGATTGGTTCTTGAGCTGATGATCGTTGTGGTCGCCTCCTCTAGCATGTAGTCGTAGTTGTCTTTCATGAGTTGCCGTCTGATGTTTTCTACCAGCATTGACGTTTGGTTTTCTTTTAAGTTCAATTCTAGAAATAAATTCTCACAGTCAAGTTTACTAAAAATAAATGTATTCAATTATTGTTCTTTACAGATATCTGTTAATTTTTTAAATATGTTACAAGACTGCAATATTCAAATTCAAAATTTTTTGCAAGTATTTTCTCGGAAAACCACTAAATTTGAACATTTATAGATACAACGTATATTTTTTATTTCATCTGTTTCAAGTTTTTTGATTTAAGTTTATTTCTAAACTTATTTATTTTTTTATTCCGTAACTTACCGTCCTTGGGTGAGGTGTTAGGCGCGGCGGCAGAAGTTAGGATTGCAGCCAACAGGTTAAAAATATTCTGCAATAAAAAGGACCAAAGGATCCCAAACAAGTACAAAATTATTGGGTTCAGTGTATGCTAAAGTATAATCAAATCTCCAATTTTTACTTAAAAGGCGGTAAAAATTTAATTTTGTTATTTCATATTTGCCAAATTTTATAAAAGTAAAGAACTTGCTTGCTTAAGCTTTGATGGCTTAGCGTCCGTGATTTTAATTTAGCATGTACGAACAACTTGAGTCCACTCAAATCTTGGGGGAACCGGAATTAGTAAATGAAATTGTTTATTGTAATTTTAAGTGCTGACTTATCACATGCTGACCTGTGAAGGAAAACATCATGAGAACGGTCTGCCAATACGCAGAGGAGTCGCGTGGTGGACTTTGCTTTAATTTCCTTTTACAGAGGAGGCCATTGCCCATTAGTGGCGACATATATAGGCTGTTTCATTGTTTTTACCTTACTTTAGGTAGCTTGCAAATAAATTAGATTGACAAAAATGAAACTACAGGTGGGGGTAATAAAAAGTATTATCACGACATAAAAAGTATTTTTATTTATACTTACACTGTCTTTCATTGTTAAGACCGCAACACTTTGCTTATTATACATATTTTACATGTGTTGTGACTGCAGGTTATTCATTTTTGTGATAAGGATGTCATAAAACCCGAACTTGAGCACGGAGCAAGTCGTTAAATAAACTTTACCTTAAGGTTATTTCTTGAAGGTGTTATAATTTTTTCAAACAATAATATGACAATATTTTAGTGCTATAAAGATGAAGTTGTTATTTATTGGTATCTCTCTTCCAAAATTTCGTTATAATCACAATTTCAGAAAAAAAGGTCTTCAATAGTACTGCTGTATCAAAAATGTAATGATTGTCAATTTTCTAACTGAATGGGATTATTTAATACAACGAATCACGAATTAAAAAAAATTAAACAGTTATGGTTGTGTAACTTTTTTATATCAATCAAATTTTGTGCGTTTAATTTTTATGAGAAAGGCTGGCAACCGACGTGATTACTAACCCTAATGGAACGTATCTACAACCCCCTCGGGTTTGCAGATACTCTGCTAACGTTTAAAAAATCAAGCTCCTGTTACCTCATTCACTAGATCACTAGACCACGAAAATATGATATTTTCATTTCACGCTTTTGTGAGGCCGTGGCAGGAAAATCTGTTGCATGTCCCTACCACATTAAATATTATTTGTAAGCGTAATATAATTCAAACAAGGAGTAACTTTGATAATTTATTGTATATTAGTGGGAATGTTAATTTTGCCTTAAATTCGTTTTCATATTATGTCAATTTCCAATAAAACTTAATTATAAGCAACCAAGGTATGATTTTTTACAACATTTTCTACAACACGGATATTTACGTTTCCTGCTTTTAACTAATCGCGCGATATCCACATTATCGAGATTTTTATGTTCATTCGCACGCGTTGTCGTTTCTTCACTAGAACTTTCAAAAAATCTTCGAGTCTTTTTACTTTTCTTCTTCTTCTTCCTCTTTTTTCCAAGACCAAATCTTGGGCATTTTTCAGAGAGACTCTCTAATAAATCTTTCCTCTTTTTCTCTAGATATTCTTTCAACCGTTTCTTCTCTTCCCGCCGCTTTAAGTACCATTCCTTTAATTTTTTTTCCAACGTTAAACGGTGACTTAACATAAGCTCTGCTTTTTTTGGTGGTATTTTTTCATAGAAATGTTCTATATTGAAAACTTTGTCTAATTTATTAACATCTTCAGATTTCTTATGTCGAGATCGTCTCAAATCAAGAATAGAGACGGTACTGTTGGATTTGGTCGTTTTGTTTTCGGTGCTATTCTGATTTATAACTGTAATTTCTGCACTGGTTGAATCCTGTATTTGTAATTTTAACTTTTTCAAATAGCTAATGCCTTCTGCTGCATCAGTGTCATTATTCTTCTGTAAAGTTAGGACACTTTCATCGATAGCCTCGTTAATTTGCTGTTTTAAAATATTTTTCTCGGATTCCAGAGTTTTTAGTACATTTTCTTCTTTTTGACAATATACTGCTGAAATAATAATGCACAATGTTTGGAATATTAAAACATGTGAAACACTACCCATGCTTAAAGTTTTCAATAATTTATTTTCTAATACTGCCACAAAACTTATCATGGAATATTCGATTTATTTTATTTTGCTATTTTATTACTATACTCAAATTTGTTCGTACATAAAGTATGTCCAAAAACGATTACAGCATTCTCCTACTTAAAATTTATGAACAGTTTCATCTTTTTAGATTTTATTTCGACTAACTCTAAAGCTTTAAAGCTTGTAGCGTTTATCGTTATTTTGAATTTAAATTTGTTTTTTTTAATGGTAATTATATCAAATTCATATGATTTATATATTCCTTGATATAGCCCATGTATGTACTTCTTGAATATAAAATAAATTTCATTTCAATGTAAGTGTATACTTTAAATTTACATTATGAATGAAAGGTTTAAACAAAAAAAAAATAATTTTCGTTATACTGCGCTGTAGCTATTTTTTGCAAGTTCACTGTCTCAGCCGTCCGAGTTGCCTGGAAGTGCGGGCCGGACTGAAAACCGGTGTGGGTATCAGAACTAGTTACTGTATCTCGACTTTTACCGAGTCCCGTCCGTTACATTATTATTTTTAAGTTTTGTATGTATTCATTTGTTTTTAGACCGTGAATAAACGTTTCTTCTTCTTCTTCTTAAATCATCCAAAGTTTATCATGTAACAAAAATTATCATATTAGAGATGTACGTCAAAGCATACTTATTCACATTCAGTACCTTGTTGCCCGCAAAAACGTCCGCATAAAATAGGGTGAAAGCGTAAAATTCAGAGTGATACAGATACATATGTACAATAAAATATCACATTATATACTCCATTCATGGTTTTTGCCTTCTGGGCCTAATAAGTGTAAATGGTCCGTATTAATGACCGCGAACAGGTGTGTTTTGGCCATGGTTGGTTGGTTGGTTGGTTAGGTTAGGTTAGGTTAGGTTAGGTTAGGTTAGGTTAGGTTAGGTTAGGATAGGTTAGGTTAGGTTAGGTTAGGTTAGGTTACAGTCTTGCTTTCTCACCGTTTTGATACATTTATATTATTTTGGTGTCTGTTTATATCTTATTTCAACTTACATCTATTTACGACATTATCAACTATTTTATTTTGTTTATTCTTATTACTTACTAATTCTTATTACTTTTGTTTTGTAGCTTATAGTTTAGTATACATTTCCTTAATATATTTCTAGTTCTTATTTTTTATTTTCTTTTTGTGGATTGTTACATTAACTTTACTTATTACAAATCTATAACTTATCCTATGTATTAGTATTTAACACCTCACAATCATCTCAATACCTCACAGTTTTGGTATATTTATGCTATTTTGTTACCTATTTCAATCTTATTTCTCTTACATCTATTACATAACCGTCTATTTTTGTTTATTCTTATTACCTAGTATACCTTATAATATTTATTTTACTATTTGCATGCAACAACTCTATTTGTTGGGGATTTTGGACATATACATGGTATATATTACAAAATGTTCCCCATT